ATCTTACCATTTCTCGTTGAAAACAGGCAACACCGTTTGTGACGCCAAAAGGAAGACGTGTAAACTGATAAAGACAACCCCGAGCTTCAAATGCTGTGTAAGGTTTGTCATCATTTTTGAGGGGAACTTGATGGTATGCACTGCGTAGATCAATTGTACTGAAGACTCTATACTGGGCAATTTTATTGACTAACTCATCAATTCGTGGTAATGGAAAAGCGTCCAGGAGCGTAAATTTGTTGATTGTTTGCGAATAGTCTATAGCCATTCTCTTTTTGTGGTTCTCGTCTTTCGTAACCACCACCTGTGCTCGCCAAGGGGACTTACTTGGCTCGATGAGGCCCTCCTTGAGAAGCCTTTCCACTTCACCGTCGATGAACAACAAATCTTCTTGGCTGTACCGTCGAGATTTGGTGGCAATAGGGTGGCAATCAGGAGTCAAATTTGCAAAGGGTTCTGGTGGCTCCATGTTCAACGTACTGAAACCGCACACAACCAAAGGTGGCTCGGGTCCACCATAGTTGAAGATGACATTCTTATGCTTTGATTGGAAGTCGAGACCCAATATCAGGTCTGTGCACAATCCTGGCAACACTCTTAGACGAAGGTTTTCATATGTATGGTCTTGATAGGTAAGATTAGTCAAACAGTACCCAGCAACTTTAGTAACATTGTCGGAAGTAGCCAAGGATACTGTCCCGGAGGATGGGTGAACAAAGAGGGAAGCCGTCTCAACCAGGCTAGGATGAATGAAACTTTCGCTGCTTCCGCTATCGAAGAGTGCTTTAACTTTGAACCCATTGAGAAATACCATTGCTGACGATTTTGACAGAGATGCTGGGTTCACTGGAGGAGTTACTGTAGCCAATGTTGGGAACCAAACGGCTGCTGAATTTAAGCTGACGGGCTTGACAGCTGCTTTTCCCCGACAGACTTTCGCGAAATGTCCCTTCTTTTGGCACTTCATGCAAATGGCATCTCTAGCTGGACATTTGGATCGAGGATGTCTATTATTTCCACAAAAGAAACAAAATGCACCTTCGGTTGGCAAAGCTGCCAAAGAACTTGGATCTTGATTGTCCAAAGGAGGTGTAGCGGGTGGTGACGAAGGAACTGCAGCATTGAAACTCGCTTGAGAGTCCGTATAAGATTCGGAACTTTTCATAGCTGACTCGAGGGATCGAGCTTGGTCAAACATTGTCTTGAGATCCAGCGTTTTATTTTCTAACAATCTTTGACGAATCGAATTAGACAGAAGCCCTGTTATAAATGCATCTCGAATACTTTCGTCGCGGTACTGAAGGGCTGTAGCATTTTTAAAGTTACAGTCTTTACTAAGGGTCTTCAGCACTTGTAAGTACTCGTCAAGTGTCTCATTTGTCCTTTGACGTCTTGTGGCAAGTAAATGTCGAGCGTAAATTTCATTAGTTGGTTTGACAAACAAGGCTTCCAAAATTGCGATAGCTGCAGTGTAATCTTCACTATCCTCGATGTACTGAAAGACTGTAGTAGGTGATACAAAGTTCGTTAACGCACCGAATTTATCCAATCTTTCCCTTGGCAACACCGATAGGAAATTTTCAAATGTTCGTTTCCAATGCTGCCATTTAGTTGCCGCCGTGCTACTGTTAGGATCTGTTTCTAAGCGTTCAGGACGTAATATTTTATCCATAGTTTAAGTTGAATAAATTGTTGTGAGAAAACTACGAAAGATGCCGTTATAATAGGCTTTATTCAACTTAAAATTGTACCTAACATTTTACAAATATGGCGGTCGAGATAATGTTTACATTCTGTGGGTCATACGCTGACCTTCATACTCTGGCTCAGAACATACATTAAATATTCATAACACACCCCTTGCCTTTTGCATTTTTAACTTTGTGGGTGCAGTACGGGTGCAGAATACGGGTGCAACGGGTGGACAAAGTGCCCTTTTTGCGTGAAAAATTTTCATTAAAATTGCATTTTTTGCGCAAAGGGCATTTTTGAAAAATTCAATCTATGTTATTTCCGGAAAAATGTTTTAATTTCCGGAAAAAATAACATTTTCCGGAAAATTTTTCGATATGTCGGGAAAATTTTTTTCGTATTTAGGAAAAATTGTGGTATGTCCGGAAAATTTTTTTTACCCCTAAAATGGTACACTGACCAAAAAAGGTCGCCAAAAATAATTTTTAGATGCCCTTTCTTTCTATTAACCGTGATTTTCATTAGTGCCCTTTTGTTAAGAAATATGCCCTCTTGTTAACCAATTGCACCCCTTGCCCCCAGCAACTTCCGGCATCCCTGTAGATTACATTATCCAGGAGTACTTCATTGTAGAATAGTCCTAATCCAAAAATTGTAAATATTATTTGTATTTGGGGGGAAGAAACCTCCCATAATAGTTGTCCTGTCAGAATTCAAAACAAGTAATTTAAAAGTAACGCGCAAGTTCGCGAAAACACCTCGTGGGTTACATAACAGGGGGAGGTGAATATTTTCACGAAACGTTTGTTCGTTACACAAGCCACAGCAACCTAACTAAGTACATTATATTTATTGTATATTTGTGATTATGATAAAAACAATAAATATTTGCTTATATTTATCATCAATTATAAAAATACAAAAAATATAATACATTTAGTTAGGTTGTTGTGGTGGCGAACAAACGTTTCGTAAAAATATTCACCCCCCTGTTATGTAACCCACGAGGTGTTTTCGCAAACTTGCGCGTTACTTTTAAATTACTTCTTTTGAATTCTGACTGGACAACTATTATGGGAGGTTTTTTCCTCCCAAATACAAATAATATTTCCAATTTTTGGATTGGGACTATTCTACAATGAAGTACTCCTGGATAATGTAATCTAAATACATATGAAAACGAAGAAGTGGCATTTATCGGGCAGAGAAG